ACTTGCAAGTTGCTAAGTTCTTTCAACAGTTTGTATAATACTTGATGCTGTTTGTTTCCGATACTACGTGTTCGAGAGAGAGTTTATTTTTACGTGCACATAAAGCGACGCTTCGTTTTCGCAGATATCGTGCAACGCATTAATGGAACCGGTAACGCCAGTGGTGTCACCCATCACGAGTTCGCGCCAGCATCTTTTGGATTATTCGTATGCCTACTACCCGTCTGACTCGGGTCATTTCCATGCCGCATATCCGACGGACGTGCTGTTGCAGCAGCAGCAGCAGCAGCAACAACAGCAAGAACAGCAGCAGCATCAGCAGCTGCTGCTGCGACAATCTCAGCAACAGTTACAGATAAGGTCGGATCCTTTAAAGAGACACACTTACACAACTTGCTACGGCACGGAGGAGAACATTTACGAGGAGATATCGGAAATCAAGTGAGTTAAAAGATCATCTGGGTATAACTAGTTATTAGCTTTAAGAAGCATCTAAATTCTTACGACAAATCGTCAAACGATGTACTCTCGCGATCTCTCCAGTATTTATGGGGAGATTGGAAAGAAAATAAATTATAAGAATTCTCTCTCTCTCTCTCTTTCTCTCTCTTTCTCTTGAAGACACGAGTTTGCGCGAATAATCGTGAGGGATAAATTTTCCCGCAGGCGTAATGCGGGTAACGCGCGGCACACAAGTGAACAACGCTTCACCCAATCGCTCCCCACGGTTCAATGTATCGTGTGGAGCGGATGCCGGAGATAGCGATTGAGTTAGGAACAATAAGAAAACAAGTTGGTGGATTATTCATCCAGCGTCCTCGACTGGCGCATAAGTCATTGAGGCGAGATAAACCGCGCGCGCGTTCAAATTGAGAACGCTCGTTAAGTGCATAACTATATTATTCCATACGTCTCGCCGGGAGACGACGGGACAGCTTGTAATCGGTCTCTTCTTGTGAACAGTCGAGTGTGTAAATTCAATTTAATTGATAATAGATTTATTTAGCACGAAGCATTCGCGTGTACAGCTCAATAATTTTAGAATAGAATCCGATCCGACGAGAGACGAGTGTTGCTAAAAAACTTAACGGCAGTGTGGCATGTAAAAATAATGAGGACGAAGCTGACCTCTCGACGAACTGTATCCGATCAATTTTTCAGCAAGCAATGCCACCGCGCGTTACACGGATCGCGAAGGTCGCTGGTGGCAGAGGAGGTGCGTCGCGTCCAATCGCGGCATCGCCGCGTGCTCGGGGAACTCAATCTAAGCGTGGAGGCGATGCTGATGCCAACCGTGGTCGACAATAATGAGGAAGAGATGACGCAGGAGGACGCTCATGGAACTTCCACCGAAGAACTATTGCCTTCGGTCGGATGCCCAGCCGATGATCTCCTCTCTCGCGTCGGCTGCGACATGGACAGCGGTTTCAGCGGGAGCTCTACCGCGAGTTACAGGTCAGGCTTGGAGAACTATTATCCGCTCTTTGTCTGGCCTTCTCTCCCGTTCCCGTTAAGAATATCATGATCATCTTAAACGATTTACAAATAGATCTGTTTTCTAATCCTGAATTGAATTTGTAG